TTAATTTCTATGCATTGTATGTATTTACCTTACAGATTATTTTGATTTACGACTAAATTTTTAAGCATAACTGCAATCTATAAAATTGAATGGTATAAATTGGCGTCATATCTTATCTAAAAGACAATGCATGGCTTCTGTAACACAGGGAACCTAGAGGCAAGATATGCCTCAAAGATTAATAGTTTCTGGGTGTCAGTGGCAACAATGGTTTACACGTTGACACAGCAATCATCATTGTAAGGTAAAGGCCCCATGTTCAAATCCAGCAGCCCTGAATTCAAACTCAGCTTAATTACAAATGGGATATTTCTTAAAACCCTTGCACACAGGTTAATACAACGGCAATTTCACTTAACTTCACTCATTTTTTTTTATAATGACCTATTGTACCAATTATTGGAAAATCATTTACTACATTTTACTTTCTTAAAAAAGTTAAAAATAAAAGTTGTAGGAAATTACAATGGGGTGTCGAACAAGGCTTATATGTAATTCTTTTGTTCGCATTTTCTGCAATTGCATTTATGCAGTTTCTTTTGAAACCATATTTTCTTCAATTAAGTTTAACATAAATACATGGAGTTTTACTGAGTAAAATCAATATATATAATTTATTTTACAGGCAAAGCCTATTCAAATTATCCATTAGTTACAAATATACTTAGGAGAGCTAATATAGAGATTCATTACAAAAGATAAATAGTTAATTAAAGAAATAACTGAACTAGAATTATAATACAATAACAAATAATTGGGAGTATGAATTAAATAAAACATATATGTAGTATTACATAAATATATGTAGTTAACATAATTGATAGAATATAAACAAAACATTATATATTATTGTGGATATTATTAGTAATATCTAAGCTAATTAGCTTAACATAGTAATATAGCAATATATACCTAATTGTAAATATTAAACAAACAGAGCTATGTGTGTACAGAAAGATGATGAGACATACATAAAACGAATATGAAAATAGTACATAAACTGATTTAAACATTTATATCATGAGGGCAGAAATAAATTGATTTTTAAAAAAGCTAATATTATCTAGCATGAGAGGTGTGGATAAACCTTAGCTGTGTGTATTAACCTATTGTTGGGAGAATTTCTTTTATGTTATTAGTCCTATGGGCGGAAATGAAGAATATTTTATGTTTCAGGGATGAGAGCTTGGGGATATTAAAGTTTATTTTGGAAAGTAAATAAAGAGACTCAATCTGATTATTACCAAGTTTATTAAGGAAGATGAGGTCAATCTCTTTTTCAATGATAAATTATCAAAGGAATCTTGAAATATTAAGGTAGTCATGTATAGCCCAGGCAATTTTAAGGTTGTAAGCTGTATAACTTAGAAATTTATTCTGAACCCTTTCTATTTTTTGTCTTTGTTTATCATAATTTGGGGACAAGAAAACAGAGGAATAATCAAATTAAAATCTAACAAATGAACAGTAAACAATTTTGAGGGTTTCCAAGTTAGTGAATTCACTGATTAGTCTAATGGTGTTCCTGAGAGCTTGATAGGATGTATTTAATATAGGATGTAATTAATTATTACAATCATCATCTAAGGTTTTTGGTTGAGATGAAAAATTAGTGTCACGAGTGGGATTCGAACTCACGACCTTTGACTCAATACGCCGCTGCTCTACTTGAGCTATCGTAAATTCGATCCCCTCGGACACCAACCAAAAACCTTAGATGAAAAGAATAAATAATTTGAATAATTAATATGGTTTATTATATATGACCATACCTATAATTAATAAGGCCATGGGTTTGAATCCTGCTTGTGATACTAATTTTTCATCTCAACCAAAAACCTTAGATGAAAAGAATAATTAATTGGAACATTGTATAAATATATTTCATATTGAGTCAATGAGTTCATTTACTTGCTCTAGAATTAATTTGGGGAATTATAAATTACAAAACAATGCAAGTAATTCTGGTAAGTAAAGAACAGCACAATAAATAAACAATATCAATTTTTTGTAGTGTAGGGTATTATAGTATAAATACATAATACAGAATATTATTAATTAGAATTTAATTAAGTCTTCTTGGCCCTATTTTAACTTTCATAAGGCACACAACAGTGACACTTGTACACAAAAAACACACACTTTGAGTGAGTAAAAATACTTTGATTAAACCTAAAATTTCTATATTGTGTATATCATTGTATAAATTCATAGTCATATCTTATATGTATTTGTTCAATTTAATCCCCCAGGTGCTGAAGATGATCTCAAAAAAGATTGAAATGTTAGCACGATAAAGAAAATGGTTTTCTCAACCTTCATCATACCAGACCGCATCTCACGAGCTAAATAATCATTACTTAACGATCACTAAATAATACATATTTCATACAAAAGTTGTTTTTTCAAACAAAATATTGTTTTTAAACTAATTTTATAATTGATCAAGCATGTAAATTTATATAATTTTTAATTAATGTTTATCACTTCATTGTATAATTAATTGTAAAGGAAGTATCTCAATTGGGAAATATCAGTGTCATGGACCAAAATGACCTGTTGTAAAATTAATTTTTGCATTTATAACTACAAATGACAACCAAATTAATCTAATTTTTTTAATACAGAAGCTTCCCATGAGAGGTCAATTAATCCATGGTGCTATTTTTTACATAAACATCAATTTTCCTCTTAAAAAAATCTAAACTAATTTTTCAATTTTTACAACTTTCTTTTCATTTTTGTTGTCCTTCTTCCCAATCTATTATGAATGAGTTGCATTATTTATTGTTGTTAGGGCATTAAGTTTAATTTTAGTTTTATATAAATTATCAATAACTGCAACTAGACAAATAACTGCAAATAAAAACAATTGCACAGGGTGCTTAAACGCCGCAGGCAATTAAATATAATTGATTAAATTACCAGCCTTCAAAGGAAAGGTTCTAAGTACAAATCGACTTTCTGGTTCTAAGGGTTTTAAGTTGCCTTTATTTATTTATTTAACAGGAATTATCCCAACATTAATATAATATATGTAAATACATAACTCTTAATATAAAGCAGTTGAAAAAAAATATTGTCATAATTATACTATTATATTATAAGAAAACATATTAAACATAAACAATATCAATAATACTATATTTCTATATAAAGAAAAAAGACATTAAAATTAGTTAATCACAACAACTAAAGAAAACAAAATATATCCACAAGTGCAAACATTTGATCTTTTAAAATTGATGAAGGGACAAAAGATAAATATCAATTTTCCTCGGTAAAGCATTGGCACTGTCCATAAGTTTAGGTAGGCTGGAGTACTGTATATAATTGGTGTTATATGATCAGATCAAATAAGATCAGGAGTCAGTAAGGTTATGCAACAGTTTGTAGACAAAGCTAAGATTATTGTTGAGCCTGCGAGTGTACGGAGTTTCATGTCCAGTCAGTTCAAGAAGAAGACCATGGAGAGTATCACCAAACACTAGTGTCTCCCTATACCAAAGGAGAAGTAAAAAAGTTTCTGGACAGCCTCCAAGCCCTTGTTCACTGCATTTATCATCTTTTTTATATGTTTTGTTGATAAGGCACTTTTTTAGAACATGTAAATTTTTGAGACTAATTTGTCTTTGTTAAGTTTTGTTTTGGTTGTTTTGTATGTTTTCGTTTTGTGCTTTTTTACTAAATTAAAGTCGACAAATAAATTTTGCCCAGGACAAAAAGTTGAATTACTAGATTGACCCGTCTTCTTTTTTCATACTGTCACCACTTTTTTCCTATTTAGCATAACAATTTGTATTTTGGTTCAGTTAATGAAAATAGTAAAGAGGTATAGCAGAAAGTTTATTAATCGAAGAAGTTATTATGAAACATGGCAAGCTCTATCACAAATTTTTCCAATGAATTGCAAATTTAGTTTTTATTACGAATTTTAAAATTAGCAGTTTTTTTTAAAGATTGGGTGTTTGTTTTTTACCAAAAATAAAATTGAAAATTCTAAAAGTGTACCTTCTTAAAAGAAAATTTAGTGCTCTTTTCAATGCTTGTTTTGGATTTCGCCAAAAATGAATAGTACAAGAACAATGAGTAGATTTATGATGAAAACCATAAGTAGTTGAAAAAAAAGTTTAATATCTGCAAAAGGGTTGAAAATGGGACCATGGTTGATATGAACATTTTTGTTGCATTTGAAGTGTAGACGCATCAGGAAAAACAGAGAAAAGTGACATACTTTTCGAGAAACTGCACCAACCATTGTTAATAACCTCAAGTTGGTAACTTGTATACCAATAATAAAATTTTCCTCATAGGCCTGTAAATGCAAATTTAAATTGATTAAAGAGTGTTTTATAGTTTTTAAAATTATTTTCCTTCTCTTTCTCTTTTCTGTCTTGTTTACAATGGCCAAACTCTGGCCGATGCCTTTTATGTGTGTAAACTTTATTTTTTGTTAGTAACAGTTATTATTATTAAAACAATTGCAATGAAATATGATGTTATCAATAAAAAAGTGTGCCACATTAGTCTTCATATGCTGGATTTTCCTCCCAGGTGGAATTAGTCGGATGTCTGCATTTCAGCAGATTTTTAAAATAGATTGAGATAGATTTATAATGGAGGAGTTTATGCTTAGAATAAAAAGTAAAGGTAGTTTATGTATTAAAATTGATCATTCATTTAAACAGTGTTTTTAGGACCAGCACGCAACAAATTACATAAAAATTAAGATTTGCCGATAATTAGGCAAAACAGAGGTGGAATGGAAAATTAAATCGATATCGGGGGGTAACGTTCGCTTATATTTTGCATTATTCAGTCCGACATGTCAACACACTGTCATTCTTGCGACAAAGCTCAAATACTTCAAAGGCGGCAGAGCGAGTAGAGAAAAAACATCAAAAGGAGTTTAACGTGTCAATTCCCACTCGTGAGCCAATTGGCTCGAATCAATTTTAAATTTTGAATTTTAACATTGCGTAAATTTTCAATCTTCAGGAGCATTTCTGGGTCGAAAGTCGAGGCCGGACTCGGTTTCTGCATGCTGAAATCAAAACAGGCAGTGGGGGGCAAAAGATGGGATGCACCGTGCCTGGAGGAGTCCGGGTTCAGTCTGCTTCAGACTATCCGGCCATCCATCACAAAGGTACAGCAGCAAAATGCCGCCTCAGCAAATATCATACTCGTAAGTCATCTTACCTTAAAAATAATAACATTTTAAATAAACTATCAATTTTAATTATAAAAAATGCATTTTTAATGATCATACACCATTAGAACGCATCGTAACTCCGCAATACTTCTATACGATAATTTATAAAACATCCTTATTTGTTTGTAAATACGTTAAAACACATAAGACAGCAGATAAGTTTATCTTCTTCAACAATATATTTCAAGCTTAACCAACTAGTTTTGTTGCTACTATATGAATTTATTAATAATTCTTCCTTTTCCTTTGATCACTTTTAACTGTAGTATTTTAACTAGACATCAGTCTAGTTGCAATGAGCAAGCTCACTCATAAGTACTAAAACTTATGCTGTAAAAAGACCCCGTGATGTCTAGCATTGTGTTCTAATTTTTCATATTTTGGTTAGTCATACAATATTATGAAGTTATTAGTTATGAAAGTTTGGCGATTTCTTCTTAATCCGCGATGTTCGATGTTGGTTGTTCTATGACACTAAGTCTAAAATTGACCTAGCCCCTTAAGAATAATTTATGTAAATATCGTGAGAGTTTATTGGCAAATTTATAGACTAGAAATAATTATGTCTTTAGCTTTGGGATCTAAACTATTAAAAAGTCAATATATTATTTTTGGTTACTTACTTATATAATTTTTTAAATATTTTGGTGTTGTTGGTTGTTATACGACACTAGGTATAAAATTTACTAACAAGAAAGAAGAATAAAATTGACTAAGCCCTTATAGAACAATTTTCAAAATTGGAACCTTTAGAATAATTTATAAAATGGACTAAGCGCATTAAGAATAATTTTTAAAATTGACTAAACCCCTTTAGAACATTTTATAAAATGGACTAAGTACCTTAAGAATAAATTTTAAAATTGACTAAGCCGCTTTAAAATAATTTAAAAAATGGACTAAGCATCGTAAGAATAATTTTTAAAATTGACTAAGCCCTTTAGAATAATTTATAAAATTGACTAAACCCCTTAAGAATAATTGATGAAAAGATCGTGCGAGTTTATTGACTTTAGAGATAGATTTAATGTTTGTATAGACTATAAACACTTTTCTTTGCTTTTGAGTCTTTTGCTTTGAGATTTAATTTTTTAACGTGAATTTTTTTATTATCAAGATTCTTGGTTATTTATATAATATTTATAATTAAAGGTAAGTAAATAATGTATTGTATGTCAAATTGGCACCCTGATGTATATTTTATGAAAATATCAAAATAGATGACCATTTCGAGCATTTATTGCACATTTATTGCAAACACACGGTTCTTACAAATCTGCAATAAACAAATGTTAAAAAGAAAATAATATTTACTTGAAAATGAGCTAAAAATAAAAGTTATTTATATTATGTAAAAAATTTATCAAAATTTTCATGTAATTGAACCACGAATCTGTGGACGTAAGGAAGACATTGATGGATCTTTTAGTTTGAAATGTGTTCACAATTGCAAAATTCCACTTTGGTAAATAATCTCTTTCAATTGTACGTTAAGAAATAAACTTGTCCAAATAATAATTCAACTATCGACATTGCACTTAATTGTTTCCGTTCTTCTGATGATTTCAGCGTGTTAGAATTTTTTTCTCAACTAACTTTTCCTCATGGTCAATGAACTGTTCCATCTGCCGTCTTTTTAAATATTAATGCTCACCATTAACATTCTTGCGTCAAAATCAAAAATAAAGTGGTTCTCCTTTTAGACTAATACAAAAATTAAACACAAAAATAAAATCTTTTAATGATGTTTTGACATAAGTAAGTTTAATTATATCTTCCGAAAGATTATTTCTGATGGAAAAGTGTACAGCAATTGGCTTAGATAAATAAACAACTTATCAACACGATCATCCAATAATAAACATATCTCTGAACATAAACAGCCTGATGCTTAAAATTACTATATCATTAATTTATAAACAATATAAACTAGCTTTTTAACTTCATATTTAACTTTATAAATTAGTTACAAACTTGGTATAAAGTTGGTAAAAGGGTTGATGACGAGGATTTCTTGTTGTTTTATCAGACTCAATCTTACTCGATACTGGCAAATTACGTATGACTAGTATGTCGGGTTCGAATGCAGGGCCGCTGGATTCGAACCCGGGACCTTTACCTTACAGTGATGAGCGCCGTGTCAACAAGTAAACCGTTGCGGCCACCGACGCTCCCTATGACTCGTTAGTAAATCTCAAATTTGCAGGACTGTAGATTTTTGCTACAGATGCTACCCATTTGCTGAAGACTTGCTCATTACAATTGGCCATAAATGTCCCTTATATGCTCAAATTATATCAAACGAAGCTTTATTAACGAAAGTGAAATGAGAACATCAAAATAAAATACAATTTAACCCAGAAAAATTCCAAACCCTTTACGTCACTAAAAGAAAAAAATTAGGATCTCTTACGGTAACCTATCCGGTACTCGCATAAAGAAGTGAATGAGATGACATACTTCGGAATCTGGATTGATAGAAAACTTACCTGGAATAGACAAGTAACCTACATTTGCGAAAAGGCCTTCCAGCTAATTAATTTACTTAGCAGATATAGATATATTGGGGATTGAGAAGTGAAGCCTTGGAAATCATTTATAGGAAGCGATTCTGCCCATCTATAAAAACACAATGTAAAAAATTTAAGAAAAGTACAGCATAACATGGCACTAAGGACAATAAAGGGCTTGATTTCTTTCAGTCTCATTAAGGTGATATACACCTTCAAGAAATAGCCGAGCATTAAAATATTGAAACAAACAGAACAACAAATAGGGCCAAGCCTGAAGTATATAAAATTATCCCGACAGGTCACATCATGCAATATTTTAGCAGATGTCATTAACATAACGAACACACCGAAAGCGATATCGGAAGAAAAATAAACGGCAAGTTTGGATGTTAATAGCAAAAAAAAAAAATGTGCGGGAAAACAGTCAAAGTTTGGACAGACAGTCGAGTTTCTTGGTATTCGATATAAGCCCACCGAAGCCACTTCCCGACAGCAAAAAAGAAATCAAGTTGGTTGGAAAGTACATATGGGCTGAGGATAGGTATAAAATGTATAAAAGCTCATTGTGGACACCTAGGGAATAATGAAGCTGATACATTAGTAAAGATCAGAGCAGCATCTGGGACACAAGATCTTCCTTCGAGTACCTGTTAGTTCATGCTAAGTTAAGAGAGGGGAAGCTTGAAAGTGTGAGGAAAGAATGCACTGCGACAAATAAAGGATGACAAAAGGCCTTTCGACAGAGGCTGCCCTTATGCAAACTGAATTCAAGCTAAATTACAAAGCCACTCAAATGGACATGGACAAAAACTGTGCCTTCATTTACATATTCCACCTTAAGCACAAAATCTACAAATGTTCTCATTTATTTGATTTAATTACATAGGGATATTCTGCTTGGATGCAATGGCAAAATATTCACAGGTTTGTACTTAAATCGGATAGAGGACTTCGTTTCCAGGAATAACTTGTGCTAGATAGATTTTGGGAAGGGTGAACTTCCTTTTGTCCTGTAGAACATCATAGCATGGCCAAGCCAAATAGAAAGTGTATTCACGAATACTCTGGATCAGGGAAGGGTCTTGAAGAAAAAAGCAAATTCAGTTGTTACTGCCAAGCTTTCGACATATTTTAAGGTCATCAGGGCAAAACAATCTTATGCAAACTCTACGGATTAACATATTTATTTAAGTTGTGAAGTTGGTCGGATTATTTGGTTTAATCGTTTGTGGATCTTAAGAGACAATTATATTAACTGTAGATGCCGTCTCTGATCGAGGACGCGATGATGAAAGAAGAAAAACCAGGTCATATAACTGGAAAATTAATCAATTTTACAGGAAATTAGTAAATAATTTTCTTCTTAATGACTATATTTTTAAAAGAGCCTAAAAATTATCACGTGAGACTGCTGAACAATATGATAAATTGAACTTTATAAAAAAATTAGTAGAGACAGCATAGTCAAGTTTGATTACTGAGTAAAGTGAGTACCTTGCCAGAAAAAAAATAATTACGCAGATATTTTTATGGTGTTTTTTTACAAAAGTTAATTATAGTATTATGTTAATAAATATATAATAAATTTATTATACGTGTGATCTGTTATTTCTGTATGAGTGTTCAGAATGTAATTTTCTGTCGTTACCATCTGGAATGTTCAGCGGGAAAAAATAAAAGTGTATGAATGTTTACTTGTTAATGCCAAATTGGCATATTAAATAAAAGCGGATCGCACATTATCGAGTAGAGAAAATATCTAAACGGGGTTTAAATGTTGGAATCCTTCGGTTGTTCCTGGAAGAAAATAAATTGCGTAGGTAAAACCAGCGGTGAGCCGGCTGATAATCATTCTTGGATGCGCCCATTCTAGCTGACGTCCTTGGCCAAAGACGTGTCTCGAAATGTATTGTGTGAAGATTAGTTGGTAATTTTTCTTATTTATACGGAAGATTTTCTAGAATAAAGACGTGTATTTTTAAAATAGTAAAAAAAAAATAAATTGCGTTACACTACAAGGAGCTAAATAAAAAAAGTTTCATACATATTGCATATAAATTTCGATCCGCACTATACATCGTACAATAACAACGTGTCTAAACTTTCTACTAAATTTCGTAATTTTATATTCAAAGAGATTCGACAATATATTCAAAAGAAAAATCAAAAAATGCATAATCATAATCGAACTGGCCTGATCTCCAGATGACCTCGTCGGCTGAGTTTTTTGGTGCCTATACTCGTTTATTTTGAAGTTTCGTCATGACTAAAAATACACATCTGTCTCGTACATCCTCGCTCACAAATTTGCCCTTTCGCACAACACAGCACAGGCACAACAAAACACAATACAATATAGTTACAAACATACCGACTGCTGCTTCAGTGTGAGGCGCGACAACGAGTTTTTGAAAATTAGAACGATGTAAGCCGGCGTCCCTCAAGGGAGCATTCTTGATC